AAGAGGGGTTGGGGGTTCAAAGAGAGAACCTGGCACCTTCTGGCGATCCCTTACACACTCCAGTCCTGAAACATAACCTGCCCACTGGGCCTGCCTCTGCCAATAGAAGAGGAGGCACTTCCAGACATCAGCCATGCTATACATCCAGGCACTCTACAAAGTCTCCCAGCTTCAGGACCACTTGTGAATGGGGCTTAGCGTCCCCTCCTCAAGTTTCAGACCCCAGGGATATGGTGCCTTTGGGGCAACAGAGGAATTCATCTGGTTGCCTTTTCTTGGCAACAGGGTCCATCTTGAGTGACCCTCTGGTTGGACAGTAGGGTTCCCAGGGTGGAGGGTGACATCCTCCCCGATCATGGGTTCTATTCTGCTACAGTTGGTTGTCCCCTTTAGGAAGGTCATGGGACTGCTTCCCATGCTGAGATGTTTAGCCTGGGAGGACCTGTGTTCACCACGGGGTTAATGGCAGGAAGGGCCATCCCCCCATCCTTCCTGTGGGTCCGGTTTTGGCCATCTGCGTGTCTGGCTCCCTGTTCCCAGAGCACCCAGTAGCTGCATCATCATTGTTCATTACTCTGGGCCCCAGAGTCTGGGCTGCGAGAGAGCCAGAAATGCGGGACAGAATTAATGGGTTTGTTTGGTAGTCTCGGATGAAGGCTAAGGGAGCAATGTCACAGAGCTTGATTTTGGGAAAGTGTTTGATGCCTCATCTCGTAAAATCTTGCTCGCCAAATTAATTCCAGGGGTCAGGTGGCTGGGAAACTGGCCATTGACCCAAGCAAAAGTCAGAGATGGGGGATAATGGATCTGTCAGGGAGGAAGCTTCCAGAAGACACTGCTGTGGGGCCCAGAGGCAGGATGGTTCTTAACTCAACCCTTGAGTCTGATGAGCGGGATAACCAGCCCATCAATTACAGGTGGCAGGTGAAGACAGATGAGTCACTAGCTGAGAAGAAAATTAGGGGCAGTGAGTTCTGAGTGGGCAGAGTCAAAGCCCCGCGTCTTAGCATCCCCATTTTCTTGCACCATGAGTATTTATAAATGCCTGTGAGGGCAGGGTGGCCAGAGGCGTGCCCTGCTTGTCTTGTGCTGGCTGTGTTTGCCTTACTTGTCTTATGTGTGTATGTCTCTGGGGCTGGAGGCTGTACGCACTGCGTTCCTCCAGGGACTTGTGTGGCGCGGTGCCGTGGGCTCTGGCAACATACGCCGAGGGACGTGTGCGCGTACCTGGGAGTTTACACGTCTGTGTGTTGGTTGCGAACATTCCTGGGGGTGTGGCTTGTTGCTTGTTGACGGAATCTTTACCTTAAGGCCACTCAGACCCGTCCAGCTCAACCGCGGAGATGATAGTAACACCCACTCCGTGCGGTTGCCGTATACATTAAACGAGGTCACGAATATAAAAGTGCTGAACACAGTAGCTGGTGCTTAGTAATCAGCCCTTGGTGAGTGGCGGCTGTTGGCTGTGCAGGGAGGCGGGGAGGTGTGAGCACAGGTGAGTAGCCCGTCTGCAGGAGGAGTAAGGGCAGGCTTTCCCTCCAATGGGAGAATATGGTCTGTGTGCCTGGGAGGCGGCTGGGGAGGAGAGGAGTTTGTCGTCCTGGACACAGCCCGTGAGTCCTGCAGCAGCCGCTCCATCTGGCCGAAGAGCTGGAGGAATCCAGGGGCCCTTTCTCTGTCGGGTGGGGCTTGGTGGGCGTGGCAGGAAGGAGCTGCAGCCCAGACACCCCCAGGAGAACAGGGCCCACCTGCCCCTTACCGAATGTCCCATGCCCCCTCCCCCCCCAACTTGTAATGAGGAGATAATGCTATTTCTTATTATTTGCCCAGAATGCCTGTTATTTTCTTTCTTCTAGAATCCAATTTTCTCATGACATTTCTGCCTAATGTAGCAAAACATGACCTTTGTGAAAGGACATTGCTGGCAGCCTGATCCCGGCCTCGGGCTCCCCAGGAACCCCCTGGCACACACTGCCAGGCTGGTCCTCCCTCGGAGATGGACAGGGTCCCCACTTGACCAGCATTACTTCTGTTTCTGCTTCTCACTGCCGGGGGGCGGGGGGAGAGGGAGAGGGGGCTGCTTCTGAGGGCTCCGCGAATCTGGAGTTCCTGGCTGCTGACTCTCATGGGGTGCTGCTCAGTTTTAGAACTGGGGGTTCTGTTCAAGGAGGTGCTGGAGTGAGGAGGAGACCTCATGGCAGGCGGGCCTGTGTGACCTTGCCTGCCATTGCTACAGTTGTGCATAGACAGTGAGCCGGGAGAACAGAACAGAAGACTTCTACCTGCATGAAGACTTCTACTTTTGCTCACATTTGCTGAAACCTCACAGAGGCTCAGGGTAATGGGGACTCAAGTGTGGTACCAAGACCCAGTGTCCTTGTCCCCGAGGTCTGAGCTCCAGGTGCAAACCCTAGTGTAAAGCCAGCCACTCGCTGGGCATGTGCACCTGATCCCCGCTCCACCCTCCTGAGCAGGAGGTGGGTCAGGGGAGCTGCGCCCCAGTGGTGTCCTTAAGTGACCACCATACAGGCCTTCCTTTATCACACCTTTCCTTCTGATCAGTGGGGCATGGAGGAAGTTTGCAGGCACAAGACAGACTGGGGGTAGGGATTTTGGGAAGCTGAGCATGTGGACAGGTTAAGGTTTAAGAGCTTTTGGTGATTCTCATGCATTAGAGCTCTTCCTTCTGCGGGCAGGAAGCGGGGCATGGGGGTGTCTACCCTAGACAGCACTGTGCAGGCTGGAGGACTCTGTAAGGAGAGTGCTGGGCACAGGGGGAGTGGAACAGGAAGCCTGGGTACCTCTGCCTGTGGTCCCCTTCCTTTGTCCACCAGTCCCCTGCACCCGCAGAAAGGGGGCTGCCTTTCTAACCCAGTCACCAGCTGTCACCAAGGGTGCGGCTGCCTCAGATGCGAAGGGGAAGCCCTGTCCTTTAGGTTGTCCTTGTGTGTGCCATCTGTCCCTGTGAAAGCTGTACGTGCCGTCTGTGATCCCGCCAGCCTGGATGTCCCCCATGACCGCCAGACCCAAGTATCCAGCAGGCTAGTTGATTCCTCTCTCTGGATATCTCAAACAGCATTGCAAGGGGAGGCTCATGATCTGAACCCCAGATAGGACCCTTTTATAGCCTTCCTGGTCTCATTAAATGACCTGGCTGCTTGCCTGGTTGCTGGCATCTTCCTCCCTCCTCTCCCAGACTCAATCCAATAGGAGGTTCTGGTGGCACTCTCCCCACCGCCCCCCCTCCTCTTGAATCCACCTGCTTCATTATCTCTAATCCCCTTCCTCAGTACGGCAGCAGCCTCCTAATTGGTCTGCCAGCTTCCAGTCTTGGTCTCTCACTTTAAGAAATGGTGATTAGATTATGTCACTTCCCTACTTAAAGCCATCCAGTGCCTTCTCATTGCTCCTTAAAATAAAATCCAAGGTCCTCACCATGGCCAGCAAGGTGGTTGTGGCTGTCCCTTCTCCTCCTTACCCCGGACCACTCTCCCCTACCTCCATGCCCACTGGCCCTCTCTCTGCCTTGCACCCACTGCCCAGAACACCCCAACACTGGCACTGGCTCATTCTCGCTCTGGCCTCAGCTCGATGCTACCCTCTTGGAGGGCACCTCTCTAAGCACCTGCATAAAGGAGCTGTCTCCCTCTCCTACATCGGTGATGACATCACTTTGTACCCTTCCTTCTATTCATGGCAAACTGCAGTTCTCTTGCTTATTCATTTGTAACTTGAATGTAGGTTTCTCAGGGACCTTCTCATTTGTCCACCCTTCATTCCCCCAAGTTGCCTGTACTTGGTTCCTCCCCAAGTATCTGCTGTAGAAATCAGCTAAGTAGAGGTGCGCGCATAAGCGTATGCGCGTGTGTATAAACAAGAGTCTGCGCTTGTGTTTATCACCCGTGTGTTTAATCAACACCAATGCACACATGCTTGTGTGTGTGTGTGGATAGAGTTTGACCTGCGTGGCATCCGTACCGCCATCCGATCTCATCAGTGTAGGAGTAGTGTTCCTGCAGGGGGTCACGTTGACTCCAGCCCTGTCTCACTGCTGCCTTGAAGGGCTGTTATCACATCAAAAGTTGTTTGTTGAGTCTGGCAACGTGATCACCATGGGCGTGTTTCTTCTATTACTTCGAAGACTAATGGCTACTCCTTTCCCCTGTACATCCTAATGAAAACAATTAAATAGCCATTAGGAGGAGAACAGAAGTGTGAACAAAAGGCTTATGTCTTGATCGTGGATGGCCCTCTTTGCTGGGGGAGGGACTGGGTAGAAGAAATTGTAGGTGACCTGCAGGGTTTTTTCCCACTATTGTGAATGTGAAGAATGCTTGTTGGTAAAAGGGGATGTAGTTTCACTTATGCAAGATGAGTAAGTCCTAGAGATGTACAGTACGGCATAGTGGGTCATTAACGATACTGTATTGTATACCTAAAAATGTGTCAAGAGGTTATATCTTATATTAACGGTTATTCCAAAAATAGAGAGTGGGGGGAGGAAATTTTTTAAGTTGATGGTTAAGTTTATGGCATTGTTTATGGCGACAATTTCATCGGTATACACTTACCTTGAAATTCATCAAAATGTATACATTAAATATGCACAGTTTTTTTAATGTCCTTGACACCTCAATAATAAAAATGAAGAAGAATGCTTGTTGGCTTTTGTATCTTGAGAGCTCTGACCCCCTGTGGGAGGGTGGCCTCCAGAAGGTTCCCTGAACCTTTCATTGTGATGAGAGGATGTGGGAAAATGACCAACAATTCTTTTTTTTTTTTTTTTTAAACATTTGTAAAATCTCTGCCTTTCCTTTTCTTGAAATCCTTTCCCAACCTGATCTGGGGCCTTGACTCCTGGCAGATACATTGTAAGCAGGGTGGAGCAAGGGAGGAGAAAAACAAAGCCAGGCTCCCGTGAAGTAACCAAGCTTCCTACCAAGAGCATTACTTATGCCAGATCTGTCCCTTAATTTCCTCTTCATTTGTCACTCTTGCAGAAACCTGTCGAGTAACCGGCTCACCACACTCTCATGGCAGCTTTTCCAGAGGCTGAGTCTTCGGGAATTGTAAGTTCGGTCTCGAAGGCCATCCAAGTAGTAGAGTGGTGGTAGAGGTTGGGTGGGGAGAAATGTGGGGTGGTGGAGCCACCTGAGGTTGGGCGTGCATTTGAAGGGGCTCCTTGGGTTGGGTAACGCAGAGTGTACCATGTTCAGTGAGAGCAAGGCACCCTCTTTGTTGCTCGATTTTCTGATGCTCTTTCTGGCACTTTCCTGAAGAAGACCGGAATCTTATCTCTGAGCAGGACCTAGTTCTGTGATCTGTAGGTAACTAGTAATAATAGTATTTATGTTTATGATACTAAAGAGTACTTCAATTTATAATAAATAACATTCATAATATATGATTTCATAGAGATTATCAGGTGTGCTTTCATTTACATGACTTTAGATTTATCATCATGAAAAAAATAGATTTATCATCATGAGCATTATGGGAGAGAGGTGTTACCAGATCTCCAATATAAAATGTATTTCTTCATTTTAAGGTAAGGGTTCTGAGCCCCGAAAAGGTACATGAGACACAGCCAGGATTGCATTGTTAGGGACTGGCTGACCTAGGACTTGAACCCAGGCCTCTGACTTCTGATTGCATGTCCTTTCCATCCTCATAATCTTTTGTCAGCCTATTTGGCTTGCGTTTGGGCATCCCGATGGTGGGGGCCGGGAGGCAAGTCCATATATTTATTCAAGCTGCCTGTGGACTGTTTGGCCTTGCTACCTTCCAAGGCTGATCGATGCACCCCTATCCCCTCCAGCCATTGTGTGCAAACCCTTGTTGGATGGATAAGTGAAAATTCCTGACCACTGCTGGAAAAAATAAGTCGTGTTGATGTGTGAGTCATCAGGGTCATCTCTGTGCATGAAGGACAGCATGTTATGTTGAGGGAACAAATCAAGGAATAAATTGGAAAGGAATTGAGGCATGGATAAAATTAGGGAGTCAGGGTTCCAGAGACACTGCTCATGTGTTCCCTTTTACTTAGTGACTCAGATCCAAATTCACTGAATGCAGATTGCTTTACTATCTTTACCAAGAGGCAGTAGCCTTGGATCTCTGCCCATGCTGTTGGCCTTTCAACTTGTCTCCCCTCCACCTGGGAAGACCTGAGTTCACGGATGAGTCAAGATCTTAGTTTTTCCAACCCAGCTGGTCAGAGAGGGGAATATTTACATCCAGTGACCCAATAGCCCATTACTCTGTGATGGCCTTATATACCCTACTTATCCTCATGGACCTGAGTGCTCACGATCAGAAAATCGTGCCATTCTAGGGCTGGGAAGTATGGAGGTGATCTCAACAGTGTTGGAGAGTTTAGGACAGTACTGCTGTGGGTTGTCTTCCTTTCTTAGGATTTTACCCCTCCCTCTGGGCCACTTCTCTGGTGTGGCCACAGTAGATATAGTGACCACAGTTCTTTAGCCACATAGGGCTGAGATCCTTAGGTACATCGATTAAAAACTACCTGAGCTTGGAAAAAGGTAAATATATACTTATTTGTTTCTACAACACTGAAAACCTAGACGATGTCACAGACGTCACAGACAGCTAAACGTCCGACCATTAGACTTGATGCATTGTATTCATTCCCATCTTTGTAGGTGGAAAAAACCTTAGCACTAAATGAACAGGACTGCTAAGATCGCTACTAACAACAATTTCTGAGATCTGACTCCATGCCAGGCACTGTGCCAAGCAATCTCTCAAATTATGTACGTTCTTTAATTTAATTCTTGTAATAATTTATCAAGTAGGAATTACTACTACCACTTCACATTCAGGGACACTGAGGTACTTAGCAAGGTTAAGTATCTTGTTTCGGGTTACCCATTAGCCAAGTGGTAGCATATGGACTCAAGGTCTTGACCACTCTGCTTAGCTGTCTCTCACCTTCTTAAAACCTATTTCCAATTCAAGGGTCGAGTCTACAATAATTCTCAAAAAGTGCATGATTCTTACATTGCCCTAGATCTGATCAGGGGCTCTGCCATAAAGGAGCTAACTGGGGGCTCTCTTTCTTGGGAGTCTCATGTCTGCTTCTCCCGGAATGCCTCCCCCTCCATCTGTAGGCGGCGAGGGACAGCATCTCTCTGGGGACCTCTGGGGTCTGCAGTTGGCTGAATTATTGAGAAAACGTTCAGTGCTCCTTCTAAAAAAATCACTGGACGTGAAATCAATGGTGTGCTGCCCTGGTGACCTGTTTCGTGAAGTTTCAGAAACAGTTGTTCCGTGGATATATATTTAAAGAAAATGTCAGATTTATCTCAGAGGATCATGGAATTCTGCATTCATCTTTGCCCAGGATCGATACACCAGTGAGCTAGATGTGACTTATGGAAGAATGAAGATGTTCCCTCCAGTGTGAGTCAGTGTGTGAGTGCCGCCATGTCCCAGAGTATTTTATTTCTGTCATATTGTTAAATAAGAAAAAAATTATATTGGAAAATAAAGAAGCCCCCACTCTAAGGAGCACTTGCCCTGGTAGGGGTCTATTTTTTGAGGAAGAATTGAATGTTGAGAGTGGAAAATTTAGCTTTTGGCTGGAGGGGCCTCATGTTGGCTCTTTGCTGTGGCCATGATTAAAATCGAAACAATCCCAGTTCCTGGCAAATGGAAGAGGGGGGTAGTATTTTCTTGTCCGACTTCCTGATTAGTCCACATGGCGCCATCTGCCACGAGCCTTCTAGACTGCCAGGGTCTGCCCAATGGAGCCTGTGGGCTGGGGTGTGGGGATGGGTTGGGTATTTCCAGGAAGAAAGAATCTTGGCCCTGGAGGAGAGAGGCCAGGGGAAGATGGATTTCTGTGCTGTGATGGCCAGAACATCACAAAGCCAGAGTGTGAGGCTTTGAGCCACCTTCTGCAGGAATAGAAGGGGCAAGCTAGGGTCTTCAGTGATTTCTCAGCACATTTCATTCTGTCATTGAGGATCTCTGCCTCCCCCAACCAGACCCTCCCCACTGGAGGATCCTTGATACAAGAACGGATGCTGTTGGGGTTTTCCATTGGAAGGACTGAGTATCTATGACCTTCTCAATAGTAGAGATGGAGACAAAAGAGCCATATATTGAGCACCTCTTATGAACAAAGTCCTGTCTCATCTTTGGAGCAATCCCCCACGGGAGGTATCATTATAGCCAGTTTTATGAATGGGGGATTGAGGCTTGGCCAAGTTAAACAACTGGTCCAAGATCACAGAGCTTATCAATGGTAATGGGAATTTGTATTATGATAATTAGCATTACCACCATCCAGATCTGCTGTTTCCAAAGACCAGTGCTCTTTCCTTAAACAACTCAGCAAACTTCTCCCACCCCCCAATACTTGCTGTCTCCTCCTGGAAACCACTCTCATGATGGTGGCTTCCCGAGGGGAATCACTGGGGAAAAAAATAAAACCCAGACAATTAGCATCTCAGAGCCTTGGCCATGTGCCAGAGGCTTCCCTTACTCATTTCTCACTTCCCTTTGTCAGATGAAGGATAAGGTCTTGGCTGAACACCTGGCGCATTGCCCCTCATCAGTCCAGGCTGTGTTTCTCTTATTGAGAGAACTGGAAGCATCCTTCAGGACTCCCTTTGGAGTACTTAGCACTTTATCAGTGGCATGGGTTTGCAGAAACTTGAGTTGGCATTGCACGGTTGCTCTCAGAGGTTTCTGGTTATATCAAGGTGGTTTTTTTTCCCCTTATGGTGAAAACTGGAACTGTCTGTCCAGAAATCAGAGCAGGAATCAAAGAGATTGTCTTAGAGATAAAGAATGAATTAGAAAGAAAAGAAGCTTGGGTTCTGAATCCCATGATGCAATTTAGGCAAAGGCAAGAGGCACCAGAGGATATAAACCCACAACGCAGAAGCCTTCCAGAAATACCCTAAGGACCATTAGTGTATCTTAAACAGGCTTCTCTTTATACCCTGCATGCACAGAGCAGACATGATTAAAACAGATTGGAATATTTCATTTTCTTAAAGCAAAGTGATAATTACCTCTGGTATAATTTGCAGATTTAATCGACTTGGTAAAATATTAACTTGGTATCAGGGATGGGTTTGGGCTGATGCTGGCATTTTCTTTTCTCCCAGTCTTGGCTATGACCATTTTCCAAGGCTCTCAGAGAAGTCCCTGAACGATCATGTTAACAATAGTGTTACTATAATAATAATTTCTGGTCTCTTTATAGCCCCTTTCAATTCACAAAGTATGTTATCATGTATTATCACTAATCCTCATATTAACTTTGTTCAGGAAGAAGGTCGAGCGCAATTACCCCCATTTTACAGAAGTTAAAGCAGAACCTTGGGGATAATTAACAAAGATAGGTAACAAAGTTACTGGCCGTATTAGTTTCCTAGGGTTGCCTTGACAAATCACGACAAATTTGGAGGCTTCAAACCATAGAAAGTGACTCTCTACTCTTCTGGAGGTCAGAAGGCCAAAACTAAGGTGTCACAGGGCTATTCTCCCTTCAAGAGGCTCTCGGGAAGAATCTTTGCTTATCCTTTCTGGCTTCTCGTGGCCCCTGGTGTCTTTGGCTTGGATCAACCCCCATCTCTGCCTCTGTCTTCACATGGCCATGTTCCCCATCTCTGTGTCTTTGGCTTCTCCCCTCCTCTCTCTTATAAGGACACCTGTCATTGGATCTAGGGCCCACCCGAAATCCAGAGTGATCTTGTCCCATGATCATCCCATGATCCTTCACTTGATCACATCCACAGAAGACTCTATTTCTAAGTAAGGTCACATGCGCAGGTCTTGGGGGTGAGGACGTGCCCAGATCTTTCGGGGGAGACACAATTCAGTGCACTCGCTTTGCCCAGCATGATCGCTAGCTCCACTCAAACCTTTTGTTTGTGCACTTCTTCTGCCATTGTGTTGTTTTCTCTGGGAGGCCAGCGGCGATCATCACTTGGACCTCTGGACAGGCTTCCCTGGTTGACCATAGATCTACACCCCTTCCCCATTTTCTGCGGCTGGCCCAGGATTGCCATGACAGCACCAGTGCTGTGGAAGGGAGAAGGAAGCCAGAGGATGACCGGAGGGGCACCAGTGTTTTCTACATACACCGCCATGGCCTTGGCCGTGTGGTGAGGCGTCTGTGTGTGTCTGGATGGGGCTGAGTTAATCTGTGGGACGCCCCTAGGGCTCTGCGATTAGGCCCCAGGCCATGCTGGGGCAAGGGCTGGGTGTGGGTTAAGCTCTGCCCTGAAGCAGCTGCTGCTGTATTATTCATGGGGCCGCCTGCATTGTTAATGGAGCAGGGAAGCCTTACTTCAGGCTCCTTGACACAGTGCCCGGAGCCCTGGCCGAAAGCCCCTCTTCGAGACACCTGACTTGCTGGAAGAACAGGTGGCATCATGTAGACTGAGGGCTGCCCTTCTCTGCTTCTGGCCCACCTTCCTGAACCCTCTCTCATCAGGATGTGAAGGCTACTGTAGGTCTGCTCAGTGGGATGCCCAGGGCACCCCTGTCTTCAGACTCAGCATGCTTTCTGTTGTGTGTGTGTGCGTCTTGCCATCTAGGAGGAAAGTCCCAAGGGAGAGGGGAAAAGCTAAGGTTTCTGTGCGGTTTTCTGGAGACTGTGGTTTGGAGGAAGGGCCGGGTCTCGTGGGGCATCCCTTCTATGGGACCAAGTCCTAGGGGAAAATGATGGAAGGAAACAAAAAGCTGTTAATGTGCTTGTGTCTAGCCGTGTCATCCCACCTGATTCTCCCACCAGCCTCAGCACGCTTTGGCGCTGTCAGCCCTGTGGGGGGCCACCGAGAAGTCGGGGGACATAGCTGTGCAGGGTATTGGGCGAGGCAGGACTCAATAAAGAACATGGTCTTGAAGCAGCCCAGCCCAGCCCCTCACTTGCTCATCTGTTCCACTGAGGCGGATAATTTGTAGTTTTACAACTACTTCATAATGAATGACCACATCTTGTCAAGTGAGCATGTGGGAAAACCCAGGCTGACCTGGTTCAGTTTGCATATATGCAAGCATCTGGACCCTCAGTATCTTTCCAGTAGGGCTGCCCGGCCTCCCCTCACTGCCCTGTGATGTGAATGCAAGCACAGATCCACGTCCTCAGGCCTTCCTGTCCTCCACACGCTGGGCAGCCTAGTTTGACCTTCTGCTTCTCCCGAGGAAGCCATCAGCTGCCTCCCCCGCTTACTCCGACAGGAGGGTTCAACGGGGTGGTCCGCGGAGGGCATTCCGCATGGTGTTGGGTACGTGGTAGGTGCGACGCAAATGTCATTCCATTTTTATTTCTTAGCTCTCACTTTCTCCTGCCTGCTTGTTTTCTCTCCTCTCTGTCCATCGTCTCAGCCAGGGCGCCATCTTGCCTTGGGGCAGACGCCTCCAAGACTTCTGGGCCTCACGCTTCACCTTCCTCCTCTAGGACCTCATCCTGATTCCTCATACACTGAGCCTCTTCCTTTCCATTGGTTCCTTCTCTTCTGTTTTCAGCTAAAGACACATCTCCCCTCCATTGATTTCCTGTCTCCTGGAGCTTAACACCTCGGTGTCATCCTCCAGTCTTCCCTTCCGCCTCCAGCAAAGCCCCAAATACCACCGTGTCTTCTTTACCATGTTGTCCCATCTTTCCTTCCCTCTCCCCTGGACCTTTATTAACGCAGCAGCAGTTCTCAAGTGGGGGTCCAGGGTTCCGTGGGGTCCCCAAGACCCTACTGGGGAGACCACGAGGTAGAATCTGAGACATTACTTGGCCTTTTCACTCCCATTCCCCCGAAGGTGTGTAGTGGAGTTTTCCAGAGGCCGCTTGACTTGTGATAACGCCGTCACTCTGGTGACGAATGGGACTTTGTGCTGATGTGGTGTTGTGTTTTAAAATTTTCTATCTGAATTCCAAAATGGTAAAGAGGGGTAGGTGTAATCTATATACACAAACGCTCTTTGAGGACCCAGTAATTTTTAAGAGTAAAAAAGAGTTCTGAGACAAGAATGCCTGACATCAGTGACCTCGAGCCTGCTGGCCTCCACTACCCGTGCATGAATGAGGGAAGATGCCCCGTCTGGGTGCATGTAGACCCGTGGCAGGCACCCGGTCTGGTCAAGGCGTGCGAGTCAAGGATTTCATCCCCCATTCATCCCTTTGCCTGGGTGCTTTGAGAAATGCACACACTTCATGCACCATACTGTTGGATTACTCTTCTTACAGACCTGTTTCGCTCACATCATTGCGAACTCCAGGGGCCTCACTGGCTCCCACTGGCCCCTGCACGAATCCCAAGCTTGTTGATGTTTGATGTGGCCGTGAACGTCCCGCACCATCTGGCTTCCGCTCTCCCTTCCAGCTGTATTTCCCAGCGCTCCTCGACATGAACTCTGCCCCGGCGCAGCTTTTCTTTCCTGTTTTCCTATCTCAGCCTCCAGCGTCGCTGTGAACTCTTCCCCTGGTCTCTGCCCAGGAGCCGTAGAGCTGGGGGTCATGCTGAGTCCTCTGCGTCTCTCCTCACACCCAGCAGTGCCTTGCGTGGGATAGACAGGGTGGAGAGCGTGTGGGGTCCAGAGTCCAGCAGGCTGAGGCTTGCAGTCCTGCTTTGTTGCACCCCCAGCCCAGGGACTTTGAGCACGTGACTTAACCCCTCTGAACGCACAAGGAGGGTCCCTCCTCTGGACAGGGACAGTGCTGGCTGTCTCCTAGGGTGGCTGTGGGAAGCAGATGCTCCGTGAAAGCTAGGTCTCTTCTCCTTTTCTGAAAGAGTGCAGGGAAAAGCCAGCATACTTTTAGACCGAGGGGGTATCGTGCAAAGGTGTTGGCACCTTCTACCTGTGGTGTCCCACTGGCTGGGACACACTGATTCTTCCTCCAGGGCCTCACTTTTTCCTGAAAGCTGATCAGTTCTGATGTATGCCTAACTACTTTGGAATTCCATCCCTTGTCCAGAATATCCTGGGTCTTAGTGCCCCTCCTGCTGGGCACCAACAGATTTGTCTCTTTTCTGGTCCAGCAAGAGAATCACATTCCTCCTACTGATCCAGGAATTTAGATTTATTGGGTGCCCTTTACTTGAAGAGTCTTATATCAATGAATGCCATCCATTGTCCCCCTAATGGGATAAGCCCATTTAGAAGGGCAGGGACTTGCTCTCAGTCACAAGGAAAGTCAGTGGAGAAGGAAGGCCTTGAACTTGATGCTTTCTCTGTCAGATGCTCTTCTTCATCAAATTGAGTGCTCCTAGAGAACAGAGACTCATTCACCTCTGTATCAACAGCACTCAGCTCATAGCCAGACATGGAATAGGTGCTTAGTAAGGATTTTGTTGAATTTATGAAGAATAAACTGGTCCCAGGATGGGCTTTGAGCAGATCTTGGAAATCGCTAAGCCCCTACTCTCCAGGGAGAGTAACTCTTTCCTTCCTCCTGCCCTCCCTCCATTCCCTACTTTTATTCATTCAACAGGTATTTATGTTCAGGCTTAGTTATAGATAATGGCGATATAGCCGTGAACCAAACAGGCAATTTCTCTGAGCTCAATGGAGCTTAATTTTTATTTGAGGAGACAGATAATAAACAAGCAAATAAATTTTTAAAGTGATGCTGGGCAGTGACAAATACTCGAGGGAAGAAAATAGTAGGGCGGGGACTGGGCAGCACTAAGGTAGGGGTTGCTGGTAGCTTACTTAGAGCAGTGGTTGGAGATGGCCATATGATTCTTTAAGAAAATGAGATAGCCAATCTAGCAGGTATATTACGGGTAAGAACTGTGCAGGCAGAAGGGACAACAAGTGCAAAGGCCCTGGGGCAGGAGCAGGCTGGTCATGCTAGTGAACTTGACAGACAGCAAGGTCGGTGTGGCTGAAGCAGGGGAAGGGGGTGTGAGGTAGAAGATGAGGTCAGAGAGGTGATGGAGAGCAGTGCAGAGTCTGTAGGTCTTTGACCTTGACGTTCAATGAGATGGGAAGCCACTGGAGGGTTTTGAGAAGAGGAGCATCTTAAGCTGATGTATTTAAGAGGGTCTCATTAAATTAAATGGAGTGGATTTCTTTCTTTCTTTTTTTTTTAATGAGTGTATGAGTGTAAAAACTAAATGAATTCCTGGACTTAGAAGTATTTTTTCATTTATTTCGAGATCTTGCTAAACCCCTTCTCTCCCTAATCCCTGATGAGCAGGTGGGGCTGTCCCTCCCAGCCGTGGGAGGGAGCTGGGCCGTATTTGGTTCAGGAGGTCCCTCCCCCCCATCTCCTTGCCCACAGGAGATTGGAGCAGAACTTCTTCAACTGCAGCTGTGACATCCGCTGGATGCAACTGTGGCAGGAGCAGGGGGAAGCCAAGCTCAACAGCCAGCACCTCTACTGTATCAATGCCGACGGCTCCCAACTGCCCCTGTTCCGCATGAATATCAGCCAGTGTGGTGAGTGAGCTGTCTGACCCCAGCAGGCTCCAGGGAGAGATCCCTCAGCTCCTGTGCAGGAGCCTGGGAAGCCAGGGCCTTCTGGTCCCCACCCCTGCACACTCCCCCGGCCTTGAACTCTGCACTGGGTGCAGATCTGGCTTACTGTTGACCTCCTCGGTCATTCCTGCTCCTCCGTGAGCCTGGAATGAAGACAGGGATTAAGTGGGCCCCTTCTCAATGGACCAGAGTCCTTTCTCTCTGTGAGTTACTTGTCAACCAGATCCGAAGGAGTCTATCTCAAAGTGTGGGCTCTGGACCTTCTGAATCAGGAGCATCTAAGGTACTTGTAGAAAAGCAGATTCCTGGGCCCAATGGACTTAATGAGATCCCAGAATGTCTCAGAATGGGCCTCAGAAATCTGAATTTCTAGCAAACTCCTCATGGGAGTCTGAAGCAGACCAGAGTTTGAGAGCCAGTGCCCAAAGTGGAAGATGCCGTTTGACCTCGTTGCTGGAACTACATTCTTTGAGCACCTGCCCCATCCCCACCCACGGCCTGCCTTGTGGGAGAGCCCAGCTGGGCTGAAATTCTGAGCTCTGACATCGGCGGGGAGGTGCTGGGAAGATTCTGGGACTTGGGGGCCTTCAAGAGCTTGATCAAGCAGGTTGTGTTGAGAAGTGCCACCATCGACCCCAGGGACAAAGTTTTGGTATTAAGTGTTGGCTTACCTTTTCACTCATCCTGTCCTCCCTCCCAGACCTTCCTGAGATCAGTGTGAGCCACGTGAACCTGACCGTTCGAGAGGGTGACAACGCTGTCATCACGTGCAATGGCTCTGGATCACCTTTGCCCGATGTAGACTGGATAGTCACTGGACTGCAGTCCATCAACACCCACCAGGTAGGGGCCCTAGGCTCCGGCCCCATCAGGAGGTTGGGGAGCCTTGACCTCTTAGTCTAAATGAGCTGAATCATAACTCGGAAGCAAGAGATGTGAGGAGAAGGAAGAAGAGAGCAAGTCTGAGCATAACTGGTTCTCATCCAGCTGCAATCTTTTCTAGCCAACCTGAGCTTCAGCATGCTAATAAACTTCTCTGTACCTTAGTTTTCTCATCTGTAAAACGGGTATAACGCTACCATTCACCCCATCAGGTAAATGTGAGGATTTCCTGAGCTCTTGCCTGTGGAGAGCCTGGTGCCTGGTCCGTGTGCATGACAGGAGGAAAGGCCTCCTTCGCTTCCTGCACAGCTTTCTTCTTGGTCCCTGAAGGTGTCTGGGAGGTGGGTGAGGGGCCACCTTCTAGAAACTGATTGTTGGTTTTTTTTTGTTTTTTTAATTGGGGTTCTAGACAAATCTGAACTGGACCAACGTACACGCCATCAACCTGACCCTGGTCAATGTGACAAGCGAGGACAACGGCTTCACCCTGACGTGCATTGCGGAGAACGTGGTGGGCATGAGCAATGCCAGTGTGGCCCTCACCGTGCACTGTGAGTAGCTGCCATCGTGGAGGGGGGCCGGTAGTGAGGGGGACGGTCGTGCGGGGCCGGTGGGAGCACGGGTGCTAAGTGGGCAGGACCGAGCAAGCCAGTCCTTGGCTGGTAGCCCCGGAAAGGGTGTCCCTGTCCCTCAGAAGATGGGCTGCCTCCAACTCATCTCTGTCTTTGGGATACCCCCACGCTGGCCCCCGTCTGCTTTTCCTTCGCCTCCTAGCAGGTCATGGGACGGGGCCCTCCAGTTGTGGTGGATGGAGGAGCCTCTGATCCCCTCGGTCCTCTCCGAGCTGGATGGGGGAAGAACTGGGAGCCCCGTGCTAGTGTCGGGCGGGCTGCTCTGGGGCGCGAGAGGCTCTGCGTGCTGGGAGTCAGCCGGCTCGTGCCCCCCCGCAGACCCTCCGCGCGTGGTGAGCCTGGAGGAGCCGGAGCTGCGCCTGGAGCACTGCATCGAGTTCGTAGTGCGTGGCAACCCGCCGCCCACGCTGCACTGGCTGCACAACGGACAGCCGCTGCGGGAGTCCAAGATCACCCACGTGGAGTACTACCAGGAGGGCGAGCTGTCCGAGGGCTGCCTGCTCTTCAACAAGCCCACCCACTACAACAACGGCAACTATACGCTCATTGCCAAAAACCCGCTGGGCACAGCCAACCAGACCATCAATGGCCACTTCCTCAAGGAGCCCTTCCCGGGTGAGGGTCCCGCAGCCTGACGGCGCCGACTCCTTCCAGGAGGGGGCGGGTGGGCGCGGTAGCCGGCCAGAGAACGAGGCGGGCCTTGACCCCTCGTGCTGTTATCTCGGGCAAACCAAACCCAGCCTGCGGCAGAGTCAGCCCCCGCCAACATTTTGCGTAAACCAGAGAAAGGCTCCGTTTTCCACGGCTGTCAGAGTGAAAACCAAGAGCCCCTCAGAAACGCGCAGTTGTGCACACAGGGACGTGCCCTGTTCTGGTAGAGGAAGGGCCTGAGATCTGGAGGAGAGAGACAGAATCTTGACCCAGTCCTTTAGTTGTTGCCAAACTCCGGGCACGATAGTTTGCTTTTGTCTGAGCCTCAATTTCGCTCATCTGTGAAATGGGCATGATGACACTGCTCCTTTAAGACTCGGGACTTCCGGTCTACAGAGCATTCAGGCTTTGACACATAAGGATGGTTCGATGACCTTCCATTCCATTGCAGGGGTCTCTCTAGTTCAACCCCACATGTAACAGACGTGTGAACTGAACCTCCTTCTACTTGCTGGTTGGTAGCAAGGTTTGGCGAGGGGGTAGGCTTCCAGCTCTGAGCTTGCTCTTCTGTTCTGTGGTGTGCTTGTGGGGGAGTATTTGATGCCCTCAGCCTGAGGGGGTGCTAACTTCGAGTGGGCCAGGGGTAGTAACTGAAGGAATGAAAGAACTTTCTTTGTTTGACTCTTTGGGAGGTGACTGTCTCTGTCTGGGCTACAGTATTTCCAATACCTTCCTAAGTTGCAGGAGAAGAAAACCCTCAAAGAGTTTACTGTACGCGGTTGTAGCTTCTCTTGGTGGGTTCAGCAGTTGATGGCAGGGCATTGTTGATGACCTTGGTGATTTCTGCTGGGAACAGGCTGGATGACCTTCAATCTCCAGGACTCAGGGGTTCTAGCGAGATAAATAAAGGGGAGTGAGAAGACCAATCACACACACACACACACACACACAGAAAGAGGGGCAGCAACAGCACGGTGCCGCATCCACTTATGTGAAGGTGACTTCACAGTCCACAAGTACCGGGTAGCAGCTCCAGGAGGCCTTATTTATCTCAGTGCAAGGAAATTCCAGTTAGAAGCTCCGAGAGGGAAAGCTACATGGGAAGCCAAATTCTTGCCACTGAGGTCCAGGGGAGAATGGTGCTGCGCCATCGCTCAGGAGAGGGTCCAGAAGGTGCTGGTGTTTAAGACTTTGGCAGTCCCATTTGGTCCAGCATTTCCAATATCATCACCAGCATGCCCAGTAGAAGGCCTCAGGGCTTTTCCCACTGCGGGCCTCACCTATCTCTGCTCTGGGAGCTGGAAGAGTCCCTGCCACTCTGTGGAAGGAGAAGATTTAGATGCAGAGATTCTTTGCACTGCTGGACCACACAGGCCTTGCCAGTGTGAAGGGCTAGAGAGGTCCCCTAAAGCAATGCTTATTTCCAAAGGGAAACTCCTGGGACCTGGAGAGAGTGGGGAGCCCTGGAATGCTCTGGAGGGAGGGTGACCCACTCTGGGCTCCTCCCCTCAGAGGCTGTCCTGAGAGCAGTTCTCTGTATCCTCCCAGCCATACAGATACCCTTTTTGTCCCCAAGAGAGATAGCAACTCCTTGCCACCTTATCAGCTCCCCTTAGGCCAGTCATTCTTAAAGAGGGGTCCCTGGACCAGCAGCATCACCATCACCTGGGCATGTGTTAGAACTCAGATTCTCCAGCCCCACCTGGACCTGCTGAGTCAGAAACCCTGTTTGAATAATCAGCTGCCATGCTGTTTGGTGAGCTCTGGCCCCAGGAGGTGGAAGGCAGGAAAGAGTCACCGGAGAGCTCCAAGGGAAACAACACACCGGAAGGCATCTTCCTCAGATCCAGGTGCCCCCCACCCCGGGCCACCCTGTGAGAAGGTTTGCTTGTTTTATGAACCTAAAGGAATCAGTGGGTGATGAAGAGGCAGCGACAGGGAAATGATGGGCCAGTCGTGTCAAGTGACAAAACGTCTAAAGGTTCGGGAGAGTAAATCGTCTGGAGGTTCGGACAGTAAACCTCATCCCTGCTGAGCTCTGGATACAAGGCTGTCTGTGGATTCCCGCTCTTCTCTTTGGCCCTGAGCCTGTTGCGACACCGTATTTATCATAGTGATTCCTCTCTCGCTCCCAGGCGAGCAGAGCGTAGAGGTTAAGAACGAGGGTTCTGAAATCAGGCAGATCGAGGTGCAAATCCCATCTGTGATACAACCAGACGGGTGGGTCTGGGGTTGGCGCGGGGTACGCGGCTGGCATGCAGTGAAGGACCATCTCTACTCTGCCTCTACTTTGCCATCTGTGGAATGGGAGCGAGAACAAAACTCCCTCCCTACGCTGCCATGAGGATTTAAGTGAAGTATGCTAAGGGTTTAGCTCTGTGTTGAGAGAGAGAGGAAAGGCGCACCAGCTGTCAGCTATTGCTAGGATTCTTGGGACAGAGGGATGCAATAAATGTAGGAGTTCTAGAAGCAGCATTCTGTGGTCAAGCTCGTCAGTTCTAACAGGCTCCGGGCAATGTCATCTGTAGGCCTATGGAGCCAACCACACTGCCAGGGTTCAGAGTCTCTCTAAATCGCTCATCAGCTTTGTCATCTCAGGCAAATTACTCAGTCCTGTGCTTCTGCCTCAAAGGCCGTGAAGATTGGTTCACACACAGTGGATTCATCCACCAAAAGTGCTAACGAAAATGCTTGGCACAGAGGAAGCACAGAGTTACTGTTTGTTTTTATTTTTTTAAAAAGCACACCCAAGGGTGACTGAAAGGGGATCTGTTTGGGGGGCAGAACAAGATCTGAAGGGAACGGTCTCCTTTTCTGATTCTTCATGGTCCTGAGACCCCTGGGAGAGATTTGATTAGAATGAATATATTTAATGGAGCAATCTGGAATGAATATATTTAAGGGAGCAATCTGGAAATGTAGAGGCTTCCATCAGTAAGGATTTTCTCTGAGTAGGACGTTAAAATGAAAATGTTCTTGAAAAGTCTTTTTTGGTTGTTGTTGTTTGTTTTTTTAAATTACACATGCTGTACAAATGTTGGATTTCCTTCTACATTTCCAGAGAAGGGCTAGAATATTCAACATGGCATCCAACCTTGGTGAAGGAGGTCCCTGCAAGGATTGGTTAGGGAGGTTGGTTCTAGAAGCATGGAGCTAAATCACTCTTTGGTGTTCTAGGAACTTGGGCTGCCGGAGGGGTCTGGGCATAAGAGTGGGAAGCCACAAGGCATCAGGGATTCATGTGTCAGGAGGGGAGGAACTGGAAAGGCTGGGGGGTGACGGCAGGGTGGGAGGTGGTAGCTAGAAGGTTGTGGTCTGGGAGAGAAGGCGAAGTTCCTTAGATGATGATGTGATAGAAGGAGGCATGTTGCCAAGCGGTGTGTGTGTGTGTGTGTGTGTGTGTGTGTGTGTGTTTGCCTGCGCATGTGCAACAAATACCTGAGACTACTTGATGAAATATTTAGGAATAAGTGAGCTGCCGTACCTCTTAAATTCTCATTTTTTACTTGGCCAGGAAGCCCAGTTATTTCACAGAGATTTTTTACAACAGCAGAAACCAGAATTCCCTCAGGACGCTGGGTACAAACAATGGGATAAATCACTGCCCCAGTGCCCTCAGCCTCGGTCAAGGCTGGTTTCCTTGCCCTAAGGAACTGGTGGAGCTAGACTGTGGTCCCAGGCTTCCGGGGAGGATGGGCGGTGTGAGCCGCTGCCTTGGCTCAGCCTCTCCACTGCCTTCTCACACCTAAACCCGGGACATCTACTCTCAACCGCACGTCTCAGTCCACCTCTTTTTCTGGACACATGCTACTGCCTCGCTTCTCCCTTCTCTGGACCCCGCTGGCTTTTCCCACAAGGCCCTTGACGAGTTTTGGGACTGGAGTACGTGCAGTCTGGGACTGGCATGGCATGCAGTCAGGCCCACCCCGTTCGTGTTCAGACAGCACCTTGGCATATGGATCCCGTTGTCCTTTCCAGCTGCTGGTGGGGTAGGAGGTGAGGAGCATTCCTGGGTACCATCCTCTTCCAGTGCAAAATTCTGAGCTCCGCCACTGGTTAGAGGGGACCCAGGAGGTCTCCGTGTTCCAAGGCTCACATGCCTCCCGGATGGATGAGTGTTCCCAGGCTCCAGCAAGGGAGCTAAGCAGGTAGGCTGATTGGGAGATTACAGGGTTCATAGACTCGGCCAAAACATTTGCCTGATGTGAGAATATTCTCTAATAAACGGGAGCCCTATGGGAAATATGCAAATCAGCGTTAACTGTGAATTGATCTGGCGCCTGTCTTTCCTCAGGCTCTGAAGCCAAGGCTAGGGCCCCCTCTCCTCCATCCTCCCCACATATCAGGCACTTGGTACCTGCAGTTTACAAGAGAGTGGTAGCATGAAGGGCAGGCAGGCTCAGGGATTTGGAGAAAGCTCTGTTGGTCTTCCCCAGAAGACACAAAATGGACAACAACAAGCCAGCTATTAACGGTGCATTTACTGTAAACAGGATTTTCTCTAGACTCCTTCACAGAAAGCATCACTTGCCCCACAGGTGGTTAGAGAAGAATATTTGCTCATGCATGTTAAATAGAACCATAATTACAATGACTGTGAGAACTTAGCCAACGGCCTGAAGACCGAGGGATGGATGGATGGATGGATGGTTGGATGGATGAATGAGTTGTTCTTATTTTTCAGGGTGTAGTAGGCTTGTGGCCGCAGTAGGTGTAACATAATGCAGTGGTTCTCAAAGGGACCAGCAGTACCAGCATCACCTGAAATCTTGGTAGAAATGCAAATTCCCAAGACCTTCCCCAGACCTCCTGACTCAGAAACTCTGGGGTGAGGACCAATAATCCATGTTTATGGAAAAAAAATTTTTTTTTAGAAAAAAAGTTTTAAGATTTTTTTAACAATCATCATTTTGAAATAGTTTTAAGATTTACCCCCTGGGGGCACCTAGGTGGTTCAGTCAGTGAAGCATCTGCCTTTGGCTTGGTTCATGATCCCGGGATCCTGGGCTCAGTGGGAGCCTGCTTCTCCATCTCCCTCTGCCCCTCCTCCCTGCTTGTGTTCCCTCTCTCACTCTGCTCTCTCTCTCAAATAAATAAATAAAAATTCTTAAAAAAAAGATTTACCCCCGAAAGTAATAAAATGGTACAAAGGACTTCCTTATACCCTTCACCCAGCTTCCCCAAATGGTATCATGTTACCTAAGCACAGTCCTTGTGCAAAAGCAGGATGTTAACACTGACACTATTATCGAATCTACAGACCTGACTTTTGTCCACTGGTGTCCTCTCTTCTCTAGGACCCAATGCAGGGTCATATACCACATTTAGATGCTCTGTCACCTTATTCTCTTTCAATCTGGGATGGTTCCTCAGTCTGTCTCTGTCTTTCATGAGCTGGATGATCTTTTTTTTTTTAAGTTTTATTTATTTATTTGAGAGCGAGAGAGGGCATGTGAGCGGGGTGAGGGGCAGAGGGAGAGAGAGAATCCCAGGCAGACTCCCCACTGAGTGTGGAGCCTGACGTGGGCCTTGAACCCACGACCCTGAGATCACGACCTGAGCTGAAATCGAGAGTCAGATGCTCAACCGACTGAGCCACCCAGGTGCTCCAAGCTGGATGCTCTTGGAGGATACTCACTAGTTATATTGTAGACATCCCCCCAATTTGTGTTTGTCTGCTTTTGCCTCACAGTTAAATGCCAGTTACACATTTTTGGCATGAACACCACAGAAATGATGCTGTGTTCTCTCAGGACATTACAGCAGGGGCACATGGTGTCTACACCTCTAGTTCCTGGTGATGTGAATTAACTCTGTCACCGGGTTGCCATGGTATCTGCCAGGGTTCTCCACTGCGAGGTGATTTTTTTTTTCCCCTTTGTACCTAATGAGTATAATGTTTTGATACTTTGTAAATGTCTTGTGTCTTATCGTGCTTTCACACATTAATTTTAGCATTCATTGAGGATTCTTGCCCGAAACAGTTACTACCGAGGTATTTGTCAATGGTGATTTTCCTCTTTCCGTCATTCCTTCTACATTTGTGAGGTGGAATTCTACTGTCAGGAGGAGTGTTCTCTTCTTGCCCTGTGTGTTTATTCAATTGCTTATTTACATTGGTATGGACTCAGGAATGTTTATTTTGTGCTATGACTTATAATCCGTGTAGTTGGCTCCAGCTGCCATAAGAGAGTACCACAGACTCGGTGGCTTAAACAAGAGACATTTAGGGGCGCCTGGGTGGCTCAGTCGGTTAAGCGGCTGCCTTCGGCTCAGGTCATGATCCCGGGGTCCTGGGATCGAGCCCCGCATCGGGCTCCCTGCTCGGCGGGGAGCCTGCTTCTCCCTCTCCCTCTGCCTGCCTCTCTGCCTACTTGTGCTCTCTCTGTATCTCTCTGCCAAATAAATAAATAAAATCTTTAAAAAAAAAAACAAAAAACAAAAAAACAAAAAAACAAGAGACAGTTATTTTTCTTGCAGTCCTGGAGGTTAGAAGTCTGATCGAGGTGTCAGCAGGGTAGGTTCCTTATGAGACCTCTCTCCTTGGCTTGCAGATGACTGTCTTCTTTCCGTGTGTGCACGTGGTCTTCCCCGTGTGTCTGTACCCTAATCGCCTCCTCTTATAAGGAAACCGGCCGTATTGGATTCGTGTCCACCCTAATTAGTTTAACTTAATTACCTCTTTAAAGACCCTGCCTCCCAATACAGTCCTATTCTGGAGTACTGGAGATTAGGGCTTCATCATACAAATTTTGGGTGGATATAATTCAGCCTGTAACAACCCATGGCTGTCTTTATTCATTTTGTTGCTTAAATTGTCCCAAATTTGGTCACTGGAAGCTCCTTCACTTTGGCTCCTCCGTTCTTTTCCCATGCTCCCGTTAATTTGGAGCACTCTCTTACTTTCTAGTACCACAGGATGTTCCAGGCACATCTTGTACTTTCTCTGCCCCAGGCCTGAAATTATGCATTTTTCCAAGGAGCCCTCATTCCTTTTATTGGAGAATGGTAGTGATCACCCTCTAGATGATTCTATTGCATGCTAGAATTGGAGAATCTCTCATGGAGTGGTTAAGAGCCCAGATTTGGATTTGAATCCAGCTCAGCGTATTCCCTCATTGAGATTTAGTTAATCACTTAATCTCTAGAAGCCTGCTTCTATTTCTGTTAAGTGGGGATAATGCTCTCCACCTCCTCGGATGGTTATAAGGATCGAGTGATGTGTTACATAAAGCATTGAGCCCAGCCCCTGGCTTATAAACAATGTTTAATAATGATGAGCTTTCACCATTAGCTGAGCCATTTCTGGAGGCAAAGATCCAATAGCACATTTTCATTTGGGAGATGGGCAGGTTCATAGCGGGATTCCCAGGAACATCTCAGGGACCTGCTAGAATAAACTCTACGTATCAATTTGAGGAGTTCTGTCTTGGGATCATAGCTGGCATTTTCAAGAAATGTCCACCCTGCAGCATTTCTTCTTGGCTTTGAGGAACCACCAGCATCCCTAGCACTCTGGGTACCTGAAGTGGAGAGGACTGGGGGTGAGGATTGTTCTAGATGTAATTTTCCATCTCATAGACCCAGGGAGGCTGGGCCACCTCCCTCAGAACCAGGAGCTTTATCTGTCATTCCTTCTCCACTTGGAAGACCACCCCCTGGAGGGGTAGTGTAGCGTGGGGGAGGGGTGATATGTCAAGGATTTTAGTTTTCAGTTGCCAGGGTAACGGGGCATTCGTGGTGAGTGGGAGAGGTCCTACCTGTGAGGAAGATACAGTGCATCTGCTCTGGTTTTTACGCCACTTGTTAATTATCTCTTTGTCTTTTTTGCAGAGAGCACGGATAACTTTGTCTCTAGTAAGTCTGCTTTACCTTTTGCTTTGAAACTGCATTATTCTGATACTTTAGGTCATTACTGACTCCACATAGCCCTCTTTCCTATTCCATGGCCAGCCCCAGACCCTGGCAGCTGAGAGCGTCTGAGGGAACTGTGAGGGGGGACCGGAGAGTAGAAATACTTCTTGGGTAGTTCCATTTGCACACCTCTTGGGCTCTGTGCCTCAGTTTCCCCCAGGGCATTCCCTAAGGTCTGAGCATGTTGTGGGTCTCCCTGCCTGGATGGGAAGGGGTGGTGTCAGGAAGAACATGGGGTTCCCCCTGCCCAGGTAGACCCGGTGGTCATATCAGTTGTCCTTGTGGAGAGAAGGGGGAGCTTCTAAGCCCGTGTTTCTCACCTGCTCTGAGGGCCCCAGAATCTGGCAGGGGACTCACCTTGTGAGTGATTTACACGGTCTCCTGATAGGCTTGTGTGTCCTCAAGTGGAATTACTATTTTTTTAAGTAGGCTCCATGCTCAGTGTGGAGCCCAAGTGAGGGACTTGAACTCACGACCCTGAGATCAAGACCTGAGCTGAGATCAAGAGTCGGACACTTAACTGACTGAGCCACTCAGGCGCCCCTAAAGTGGAATTATTGAGGCTTAGTTTAAAAGCAGTCTGGGGCTAGGACTAGACAATGCCCCCGCAAAATTTGGTGTTTTGCTCATGGGCTGTGGGGAAATCTGTATTTATGGCTTTTCCTTTTTCTCCCCCATGGGAAACTAACAGCAACAGCCCTGTTGTTTCTGCCCTGTGTGTGGCCTGAGATAGTGGAAGTCCTGTTGAGGACACCCCTTACTGTTGGGCACGGATGTGCAGATCATCTGTGATTCCTTCATTTGTCCTTGGTTTGAGAGGACTTGTCGTCTCCCAGAATGTCCCTCCAGGGAATTCTGAATTGGGGCCGTTTCCTGCCCAGGAGGTGATTTGAGATGGAGGACACACTGGCTTCCCATCCAGGCCTTGCTGGGAAAGGTGGGGTTTCCTGGGCAGGTGGACTGGTAGCTTACCTTGGGCTGCCACTGTGTTCTGAAGTCCGTGGCAGGGGAGTGGACAGTGGGTTGTTCCTGGGGCCGTGGGTCTCCTGGTCTCACTGAGGAGTAAAGAGGGAGAAAGGAAGGGCATGGGAGAGCCAGGGACAGGAAGAGGAGGGCCTAGAGCAGAGGGTAGCCGAATGTCAACACCGGATGTTGTCACCAGCATCTTGTGCCCAATCCACACCCTGCCCTGGATCCCAAACCATTTTTTCTTCTCCTTTGTATCTAGTAGTTCATGGCCTACATTGCCCAGGTGACATTATTTACTCCGGAATGGGGGCAGGGGACTGGCAGGGAGGGTCCTGTATTCCCTGTGGAGCCTGCCGTTGACCTGTCAGCACCAGCCAGGCGACTGGATGGGGACCTGGTCTCTGGGGACCCCTGCAAAGCCAGGGCATGGTCTCCAGCAGGAACTCCTGAGGGGGGCCTGGGAGTCAGGTGGGGACTGTGGCTGAGGCTCTCCTGGCCGGTAAGCTAACCACCCTCCTGGTCTGGTTGGTTTTCAGTTTATGACGTGAGCCCCACGCCCATCACTGTGACCCACAAACCGGAGGAAGACACTTTTGGGGTAAGTCATTCCCCGATCAAGGGGAAGGTGTTTACTGGCTTCGTTTTAGGAGCTAACTTTCCGGAATTTTATCTTACTTGGAACCCCAACATATGCAGCAGAAAAAAAAAAAAACTGTGATGAATGACCTCCTTTCAGGTAGTTGAAACCTTCCTTGTTTGATGAGAATAAGTCATTGTTTGAGGAAGTCTTTGAGGATCCGCTCCAGGCCCTGGGGTTTGGAAGACAACCATTTGAAAACCCCATTCTGTTAGGAGCCTGGCTGGGCCTGATTTGAAGGGAATGCTAACCACACAAGCCTTTTACAAAAGTCAGAGTTGCTCAGAGCATCCCCTTGGGTGGGTTTTTCAAGTCCCTCCCCCCACCCTCCCCTGCCTGACTCTCAGAGCCAGAGATTTCCCTGAGGAGGAGAGCAAAGGTGTTTTTTTTTTTTTTTTTTTTGTAAGACTCCAGATCTCCTAGAACCTTCTGGATGATCTTCTGTAAAGAATGTCAATGTGAAGGCGCAGAGTTTTTTTTTGCTAATGAAAACAACAAACAGTAGACAGAGACATCTTAGGCCTGCCCTTGCATTGCTTATGATGGATGGCCCGCAGATGGGAGGCTGAGCCACGGAACGTTCTCTCATCCAGTTGGGGAATTAATTTTCTTGTCATGTTCTGAAGGTCTCATGAGTTACTTCTGCTGAGGAATTGACTCAGTGGTGAAATTTGGAATGGGCTGCAGCGGATCCCTCGATAAGACTTCTTCCGTTTGGGCGCGTGTGACTTCCCTGGCATGAGGGTTTTCGGTGACTCTTCTCAACTCTCTGCTCTTGGCCCCTCCCAGGTGTCCATAGCGGTGGGACTTGCTGCTTTTGCCTGCGTCCTGTTGGTGGTTCTCTTTATCATGATCAACAAGTATGGTCGACGGTCCAAGTTTGGAATGAAGGGTAAGGTGGGATTTTCATTTGCAAGGGTCTCCTGGATGTGTGTCGGGGGGATAGGGTTGCTGTTGATCAAAAGACGCTGTTTTATTCTCCCTTTGCTCTCCAAGGGGGCCTCCGCTGGTAGGCTGAAGGCGTCCTGGTGGAGACTCCTGTCGGAACCTTGTTGTTGGTAGTGATGGTTTAGAGGCAGTGTTGGTGTCTGTGGGGGCCAAGCTGGGGTCCGCCTGGTTTTCCCTGAGTGTGGGAAGCATCACAGAGTGGGGCTGCTTGCTGCAAGACGGTGGTTTGTGAAGGAAGTTGGTGAGAAAAAGGACTCTTTGTTTGAGCAGCTTGGTTTCCCTCTGCACCCTTGGAGTTGTGATGCGAAGGTATTAGCAAGCTAGATGTCAGGTGGTGGACCCCGGTGTTGGGACGTTGCCCACACAATGGCATTTCAGCACGCAGCTCTACGCAGGGTCCCAGAGCAGATGCCAAGAGCAACACGATTGCTCAATCTGCTGGCCTGCTTCCACAACGCCCAGTCCTGTAAGCCCCCTTACAGCCGGGGTAGGCTGTGGGACGAGGCTTCCCACCAAGGCTTGGGTTAGGGGAGTGGCACCAAAGGGGTTAACATGGTGAATTAGCATCCATCTGCCTGGTCCCAGGGATGGATCTGACCAGATGGCTCCAGGGAGGCTGGGTACCAGTTCTCAAACAGAAACTGGAATTTCAAGACCTGCTCCGGGACCTCTGGGGTTTCCATTTATGGCTGGTGTTCAATGGGAGGTGGGTAGGGAAGGGTGAGGAAAGGTTCTACGAGCTGTCAGCTTGCTGAGCGAGGATCTAGGTTGGGGTTTTCTGGTGAGAGTACGGGACCCAGAAAGATGAATTTCTACAGCTTCTACACACGAACTGGGATCTGTGGGGAGAGTCCTGACTTTGGAACTCAGGGACCGAAGGAGGGCACGTGAATGAGATCCACGGGGACGGGGGCCCTCTGAACTTATGCAAATGTTTGGGTGTATGTGGCTGTGGGGTGGGGGGTGGTTTGGAACGGAACTAGTCCACTCCTTCTGTTATATTCTCAAAATATTCTGTGACTCCCCTAAAAGTTTAGAAGGAAGGACAGAAGGGCAGAAAACAGGAGGGCAGGCCGCCTGGCTTCTCAGAAGCCGCCTACCTCTCTACCCTCTTTCTGTTCTTGCTTTAGCTGAACAAGTCAGAGCAAGGCAAGCCAGGTTTTCGTGAATCCTATGAAATATTTTGACCAAGAGAAATACTTGTGCAGGCAAATTATAGAGAGGGGATGGAAGTTTGGCCCAAAGCCCCACGACTTAAACAAGACCAGACCACTGTGAGGCACCTCGATCGGAGGTGTTTTATCTGCCAGTATTCCCCTGTGCCAGACAGGGCTCCCATGGGGTTCGAAGATGAATCCCACTGGGTGAGCCCCAAGCCTTCAGTCCTAGCCTAATCCCTGGGCCCGTGGCTTCGAGCACTGGCCCGATTGCTGGTATAAAGTTTTCAGACCATGGGAGGAACCCTCTGACCATAACTATTCCTTCTTCCACCTGAGAAAGCATGAGGGCCTCAGCCAAAGGGGACAATGGGGCATTGCTGAGACCAGCTGAGACCCTGTGACACGCTTGGCAGCACTGCGAGAGCAGATTTTTCCTATTAATTGTCATCCGGTTTCTGGAACAGTGTGTCCCCATGTCGGATGGATTAGGCAGCATCCAGGGCGGTGCCTTCCCCTCAGCTGTCCTCAGAGCCTCTCCCAGCCCCTGCTCCCCTCTCCTGGGGTTGAACTGCCTCCTTGGCCCTGGATGGCCCAGGAGAACATGTCCCACGAGGCGGGAGGGAAGTGTCCCCTCCTCTAGAGCCCGGCAGCCTGAAGAAAGGAGGCTGCACTTCGAGGCCAGATGTGGAGGTGTGTCCAAGGCTGAAGCTCCCTGTCTCTGCTCTTTGTTACCCCCGGTCCCCTGTACTTGGGCCTCATCCTAGGATGAGTAAGCAGATGCCCCAGGCTGCATCCCCCCCCTCCCACCCCCAGTCCTTTGTTGCCAGTCGGGCATCCCAATGCAGGAAAGAGTGAAACCCCCCGACTCTGACTCCGGCGAACCTCCATGCCTTCTTATCCAGCCCGTCCTCAGCTTTGAATGTTCAGATCTGGGTCACGCTCTACCATGCCACTTAACTGCTCCTGGCTTTTAGCAAAGCTACTCTGCCCTCGCAGCCTCCCCTTCTTCCCTGGGTTGCTGTATTGAGATGTGTGTAGAACGGACCTATAAAAGGGGGCCCCATGGTTGTAGCTCTCCCATTCTTTTCTTCACGTATAAGCCTCTCCTGGCTGCTTTCATTGTCCTTCTACAAAGGGCTGCCCTCCCAAGACTCACGCATACCCTCCTTTGCTGCACACAGTGTTTAGTCAGGATGCTTTGATTCTGCACTAATCCCAGTGCCTTGTCATTACTTTGCACACACATCATCTGTCTGTCCTGCTAGACCAGGAGCAACTTGGCAGAAACCACAGATCACTCAGCCCAGTGTGCCTGAAACTTCGCACGGTGTTTGACAAACGCTCGTTGAACTTCAGATGGATGACTATATTTATAATCATAAAAAAAAAACAAGCACAGCTTGTGAATCAGTAACAGGCTAGTAAGGGCTACTTTGGCAACGTGAGGAGTCTGGGCAGTGGGAGGTAGAGTGGGGATGATGAAGGGAATTCATAAATAATACCCAGCGTCCACATCTGAGGGCCCCGAACACAGCGTGTGGACGGGGAGGGATTGTTAATATGAACTTTACTTCCTCCTGACAAATAAGAAAAAGACAAAAATACAAAGCTTGGTGTAACAAATACTCCTCTTCCCACTGCTTAGAATAAGCAACTCCTACAGTTTTGTTTTTATATTTGCATCTGATGTTTTATTCCTAGAATACAGACATGAGACATTGCTAATAAAACTAAAAATGCTTTAACTGTCACCTCCATTTCCCAGAGACCGCCACCAGCCTGGGCTCCGTGTGTGTCCCTCAGTTCACTGTTTTTGTCTCTCTCCTTGGTCTCTACCTGTCTTTGTTGTCTCTGCACACCTGCCCTCCCCCCTTGGCTGTCTCCTAGCCAAACTCACACCCTGTGGGCCGCCTCCACCCCATGGCGATGCTGTTGGCCAGGTCTGGTAACCAGTTCATTTTTATACTTTTTTTTTTTTTTAAAGATTTTCCATTTGTTTATTTGGATTGCATACAAGTGGGGTGGGGGGGCAGAGGGAGAGGGAGAAGCAGACTCCCCACTGAGTAGGGAGCCCACATAAGGCTTAGGGCTCCATCCCAGGACCCTGGGATCATTACCTGAGCTGAAGGCAGATGCTTAATGGACTGAGCCACCCAGGCGCCCCATTTTTATACTTCTGTGTGTATGTATACATATACATGTATATTTTGTTTTGTTTTGTTTATTCTTTACAGGTCACAAATTGCCTTCTTAGACCTCTAGAAAACAATCATAAGTATATATATCTCTTATATTGATCTTATTAATAAATTTTATTTGGACAAGAGAACTTGTGCCATCATCGTTTTTCACCAGTGTGACTAAAGACTACAACACTCCCAAGAGTGGTCACACACGATATGCAATACGTACAGATAACGTACGTTCAGTACACAACAAACTATGTATGCGTGCATTTATGTATACGTGGGCATATGTACATTTACAAAAGGCATTACTTTGTGTGTGTTTAACTGATGCACATATTCATACTCTTAGTACCCTTCTGCATCTTGCTTTATTGACCTGTCAGGTGTCAGAGGTCTCTCCATGTTGGCGTCTATAGGCATTACTAACAGACACGTAGTTTACGGGAGATGAAGATACTAGATCTTACAGAAATAAATAGAAAAAGCATCATCCCAGACACCTCTGTACTTCCATCTCCTGGCATCAGCTGATCACGGTTGGCCTGAGGAGTGGTCACACTAGCAGGGAAGTGCATCTCTTGGCATCTCTTGGAATCACAAAGGTTTTGAAATGGTGCTGAGCCAGGGTGGTGGGGGTTTCTTGGGGCTGTGGCTGAAGCCCAGGGTCTTACTTAGAACAGCAGGGGTGATCCTTAAAGCGTTTAGTGTGGTTCAGTGTGGGAACTGACTTTCAGAACTGAAGCCAGCCCCCCTGCAGGAGCTGGGGACCTGGAGGCTCTCTGCTGTGCCGGGCTTTAACTCTTAGATTGCTGGATGGGGGGTTGGAGGAACGTGCAGGACAGGAGCGATTTAGTAGGAGGTACAGAAACATAGACAGATATTTCAGTATTTTATTTTATTATGTTTTTAAAGATTTTGTTTATTTGGGAGAGAGAGAGTGGGAGGGGGCAAGGGGAGGGGAAGAAACATGCTCCCCACTGAGCCGGGAGCCAGATGCAGGGCTGGATCCCAGGACCCCCGCCGCCCCCCATCATGATCTGAGGGGAAGGCAGACAGACACACGCTTAAACCGACTGAGCCACCCAGGCGCCCCAGACATTTCAGTGTTCAGTGTCTTTAACAACTAATGTGTCAGTGCATCCTGGGCCTGGAAGTGATGTGGTTCAGAGTTTGTACCAAGTTCTCCCTCACAAAATATTTTTAACCGGACATGAGAAGACCGTAGTAGTGATCCAGCAGGGGCTTTGTGGCATCTGTATGTACCGATCAAGAAGCCGTAGTGAGAAAAGGAGGCGTCGTGCTCTGGATTCTCGGTCTGGTGAGGCCGCATTGTGTTAGGATCCCCCGCTCACAGCCTCAGCCCCTTTCCAGGGCCAGCGAACCACCTAACTCCTTGGCCTTGGCTGCCCCATGGTGAACGGCCCCGGTGTACCTGCCATCTTCATTTCACACAACTGTTAGAAAAAAAGCCAAGTCGATGATGTGGGAGTGTCTTTAAATAATAAAACATGCCCCATAGTTTTCATATTAGGTATCGCAGTTATTTAACAGAGAAAGAAGCATACGTGTGGGTTTTCTCAACCTGTAAGGAGAGT